GATCTCACCTCTCGCTCCCCACATGTCGGGGGCGCTAACGCGCGCGGGCGAGGGGGGCTTGCCCCTCTTGTCCCTAGCCCTGGCGAAAGAAAGAGAGAGAGAGAGAGAGAGAGAGAGATGACGCGCGCAGTGGGGAGGCAACTCCCTGCCACAGCCCTGGGGGAAGAAGAGAGAGGGAGTGAACCGGGAGGCGGGTTGGGGGTGTTAGTGTTCGGGGCTGGGGGCTTGCTGCTGGAAGCATGTGGGCACACCAAGTTTTCCCTTGCAACCGTCAGTGGGACCCCAAAGCCGTCCGCTCATTAACACAGGGGTGGATGGGCGGGCCTAAGGCCTGAGGGTCGAGGAATCGACCCCTAAGCCCTGCAGAAAGAAAGAAAGAAAGAAAAGGAAGTATTCACCAATCGCTTCGCAACAGTCGGGGGCGCTAACGCCCACGGGCAAGGGGGCCTACCCTCTTGCCCCCAGCCCTGACGAAAGAAAGGAAGTCCCGCGGGACCTGAACCCATCGGAAGGAAGGAAGGAAGGAAGGAAGTCCCGCCGCTTTGCTACATTGTCCCGGCTTGCTTCTGTTGTTATTGTACTTTGCATTTGTTTTGGACACGTAAGTTTTTTTTAGCTGTATGAGAGGATCCCCTTGCCACACAAACTGCGTGGACAGGGGAAGGTCGGCAATCAATGCCAGGTGCTTTTGGTGCTGACGTTTAGTGGTTTTCTTGATTAAATACTGAAGGCTACACCTGACTCCTTTGATTGCATGTGTTCTTGAGAATGTGCGATCGTCATGGTCCTGTTACTGTAGTGCATACTGTATGACTTTAGCCTTATGATGATCTACAATCGTTATTCACTCCGCTTGTCCCGGTAAAACATCGGGTGGGCTTGATGCCCGGGGGCTTTGACAGACCCCTATGCCCGGGAGAGAGCGAGAGAGAAGTCCCAGCCTTGATGGAGAGAGTCTAATTCACTAGTCGCCCCGCAACAGTCGGGGGCGCTAACGCGCGCGGTGAAGGGCGGCTTCCCCTTCACCCTAGCCCTGGCGAAAGAAAGAGAGCCATAGCGCGTTGGTCGCGACGCCAACGGCTCTCGGGTCAATGTGCCTTTCTCTCTTGGAGATCCGGGAGATGCCAAACTAGGCCTTTCCGTCTTGGTCGTAGGAGCTCTGCTTTCTGCGGCTTCGCAATCGTGCTCCCGAACAATCTGAGATTTCGATCGAGGGGTCAAGCCCCCTGTTTCCCCGAAGGCAGTCCCGCACAACAGCCTCGTTTGTGTATTTTCAACGACTTTCATTCGGTAATTGTGGTTCCGTAGTGTGGAACTTGTCCTACATGTGCGATTCCATGCCTTCGAGTGTTTGCACACATATTCTCTTCGCACCCGCAACAGGCGGGAGCGCACACGAGCTCCCCACCACAGCCCTGGCGAAAGAAAGAGAGAGAGAGAGGCCCCACAAACATAGGGGGACCCAAGTGGTCAGGGGCCTGACAAGCCCCCAAAACCCGGTGGAAGAAAGAGCGAACCTCGACCGTCAATCGGACTTCGTCGAGAGTGCATTTATTGATGCCCAGTTGATGCCTAAGATTCTGGTGGCTTGGTTCTGCCATCCTTGTGACCGTGGGTGGCGCGAGGCTGCGGCCTGAGCAGAAAACATTTTGCCAAAAGTAGGCCGAATGCACTGCAAGGATCGAGGTGGACAGTGGCTCCAATCCAACCCCTTGCCAGAATGGTTTTGGCACCGAGTTTTCGGGAAAGGTTTGCTCGCATCCCACCTGAGCTTTTGCTGCGGCTGAGGTGTGGTGCTGGTGGTCCAGGCTACAAGGACCCTCCGGTGCCAGGCTACTCCGAGCAGTTCTGAGGCAAAGCTCTCGAATAAAAGTTGAGCGTGGTCGCAGCCGCGCTTTCAACGCTGGATGCCATTGCTGCGCAAGGGTCAGATGTTCTGCGGCTCCAATTGCTCAAGCAAGAGAGGCTGAACGGCTGAACCAATCAAAGTTTTTGAAGTCGAGAATGGCAATGACTGGGGAGGGCTCCAAGCAGATGGCAGGAGCACTTCGATAGCAGTCACTAATCACTTAGATTCTTAGATCTGCCCCTCACTATTCTCATGACTCCAGGTTTCCGTCTTGACGTAGTGTGCAGACAAAGCATGTGCACCACGGCTTCCGCCCGAGCATGGTAGACAGCAGGCCGCTGGTCGAGAAGTCTGGCAGTGTTGGTCTTGACTCATGGGTCTGAGACATCCGGGGGTGAAGGCGACGCATTTGCCCGTGCATTCCGAAGGGACACTTCAAGTTGCACCGTAAGGATAGAGGCATATGGCACAGGTGGGGCGCTAGGCAGCTGCGATCCGTATCTACTTGAGGCTACCACATGGCTCTCTCGCACCCGGTGGAGGCTTCCGGCCCGGACCCCGGCAGTGTCATCCATCAAGAGCCCCCTCATGGCATAGAGTAGAAGCATCGACAAAGCGACCTCTTGCAGTTCTCTTCAGCTTGAGTCCTGTCAAGGACAGAAATCAGTTGGACTGCCCGCCTGCTCGCAGGGCTTCACCTCCCGGAATCCAGGCTTCAGATGCAGACAGGGTTTGGAGCTTTTTTTCCGACTGGAACGCCTCTTGGACAGGTCTCAGTAGACCCAGCAGCCGAGCTGACGATGCCCGACTCTCGGGAGCGGGTCGGTTCGTGCTCGGGCGGGGAGCGGAGAAGAAGGCAGCCTACTGCGATGCCAAAGCCAACGTACCTCGCTGCTCCAGTGTGCCGTGGAGCATCCTGCTGGAAAACGTGGAAGGCAAGCCCACAAAGACTGTACCCGTGGCCAGCAAGCTCAAGGACCCCACGTTCAAAGCTTTGAGCCCGGAAACGCCATCTTGGATCTGCGAAGTGAGCTCAGCACTGGGATCCGTGCACACCGTACAGACCGGCGAGGGGTCCGATGCTCTCAAACACTGGCTTTCTCGTTGGCAGCAACAAATGCAACAGCGGAGCCTCCAAGCAAAAGCCGGTGGAATAGCTTCTTCGACGTCTTTCCAGCTGAAGCCAACCCGTGCAGCGCTCAAAGCATAGGGCTCTTCATCAGTCATGACGGTGCATCGTGCGACTCGAGTCACTAGAGCTCCTTGGGCTCTTGAGTACTGAGCGCAACCTAGGTGTAAAAGGCCTGGATGCACCAAAGCAGGAGTGGTGCAGGCTGAGCACCAAGGCTAAGCGGGCCATACAGCAATGGGTCGCAGGACGTCGCAGAGTAACATCGTGATGATGAACATGTGTCTTGTTCACCTATTCTTGCTGAGTTTAGTCAACAGTTCTGTGAGTCCAACTACTCTTCTTGCTGTTCTCGCAGGAGACATCGGAGGCCGTCACTGCTTGATGCTCTTGGAGCACGATGCAGCGATCGACTTTTTCATTGCCCCTCTCGATCACAAGGTCCGGGGCTTTGAAGCCGGGATTTGGGATTTAGGCACGGTCTCGCTATATCAAAAGCCATGGTCTAAGGACTTTAGGAGGGACCCCTAACAGGGACCATATTAGCCCCAATAACCTACAAGGGTCCCTATTAAGGGTCCCTCCTAAAGCCCTTAGACATGGGCTCAGGAGATGTCGGCCTCAGACGTGGGATCTGGCGGAGCTCTTTGTGCTTTGTCTGGGCTGCCTTTGGATGCACCGGGCAGCCGTGAGGGTGGGTGGCTGTACCGAGAGGCGAGCCCCTATCCTCCTCAAGTCTAAGTCCCGTGAGGCCGTGAGGATTCAGGGGACACCGAAACACAATTGATCTCTTTCAGGTCTTCTCCAAAAGTCCGACGATTGTTCTGGAAGAGGCGCTGCAAGCGGCAAGCCTGGAAGCCGAATGCGGGAAAGCTGTCAGCGCCGACCAGGCCATGCACGTTTGTTCAAAAAATATGGCTCAATGTGCTGCATCTGCATGCAGACGCTAGCGTTGAAAGTCGACAGGTCAACCTCGGCCTGAGGCAACTGGCCCTGAAGGCACAAGCTGATGGAATGCGCTCGCTGCTGTGTGGGCAAGAGCCGAACGGGCTTGCGTCTGAGAAGAGCCGCACGAGACTGCCACAGCATTAACACACCCCATGCTGCGAAGCTGAGGCCACGGTGCTCCGACGCATACATGAGGCGTGGTCTTGTCACACTTCGCGTGTAAGGAAGTGTGCAGACCTTGAGGACTCAAGTCTGGCTGGAGCTGGTCAGGCGGCACTTAGCCGACACTGCCAAAGGCAGACTCACTCACAGAAATTCTGCAGCCTTCGTCCACCTTTGTTCTTGTAGGAGGGCAGGGCTCCTTACTCCTCCATGCCAAGCCCAAGGCACGAGATGGGTTCAGATCGCCCAGACTTCGGCAGATGCGTAGACTGTGAGGCTCGCCCCAAACGCTCGGCTGAAGATGCAAGCCAGCTGTGGGATGACGGGCTTGGGTCTTACGGGTACAACATCCTCGATCTCCGTTGCGTCTGCAGATTGTTGACCAACAAGGGCCATGGGAAGCTAGCCTCGCGCCTGCTGTGACCCAAGGCAGTTCTTGAGAGACCTGGAAAAGCCAGACGATGAGTTGGAAGCGCAAGCCAGCCGAATGAATTTGCCAAATCTCCGTCGGCAGAATCAGCTGCCAGTCTGAACTAAGGGTTATCATGTAGTACTCATGTCGTCAAATCCTTACTCTGCATGCAAGCAGCCGTCGTACTCAGCTCCTGCACAATCACTATCAAGTGTCCGCTTAAGTCATTGCCGTGCAGTGGAGGACTTGGCCCGGTAGCTGCCTAGCCAAGGTCAATGGAAACCTACATGATGAGGGTGGTGCGCAAGGGCCTTGCAATGTCGGTTGCTCCTGTGCGCATTTGTGAGAGATGCTGGTCGAGTCTTTCAGGTCAGCGGGACTACCTGAAACATGTCATGACGTTCGTCCGCAATGTTCCAGTGCCCACTCCATTGCTTAGCCGGCTCGCAGTAAGGACTCTTGCAGATGAATGCGCGTCGTATTTCGTTTTGGGCTTGGATGGCCCAACTGCGACGACCGACGAGATCAAGAAGGCATACCGCGACCTGGATGCAAGATGATGCATGCTTCCGTTGTTGCTCCTTCCCACAGCCGGGTCTTGCACGGTCGAATGCTTCCCACAAGACATTTAAACGGCGAAAATTGTAGGGCATGGCGGGCCAAAGGACACCACCGCGTGTTGAACTCAAGAGGGCATATTTTTCTAATGATTCTAACCCGACTTTAAAAAATCTGCGCAAAATTGGCGTGG